CGCCTTGTGCAGCACACTTAAATTTAGTATGCTTCACAATGGGGGAGACAGCATCCCTCCTCCTCCCATTACAATGCAGAGCATTGGCTGAAGCGGAGCTGGCCCAGTGTCTCAGGGCGGAGAGCAATTCACACATCTCCCTGAGCAGCCAAGGTGTGCACAGCACCAAGAAGGGCCGGAAGAAGAGTCAAGAAGAGGGGCGCTTCACTCCCATTTTGGAATATGGAGCGAGTCCCCATCCGCCACCATCACCCTTCTCTTTTCAGGGCAGGCAAGGAGTGAGAGGGAGACAGAGGCAGGGGCAGGCAGTGGTGGGTTCAGCTGACGGAGCCACAGCAGGGGGACGAAAGAGCTTCATTTGAAATGACTCTTAATTTAAATCATATGGCAAAAAACACCCAAAGAAAAACACAAACCCAAACCCTCGCCTGTTTTTGGAAATGGTTTAAGAGGGAACACGCACACGAGAGAGAGAAAGGGGAGAGAGAGATGAGAGAGAGATGAGGGAGAGATGAGAGAGAAATCAGACAGATAGAATGTATAATCATGTTTAATTAAAATACTATATTTGCATCTACTCAACTTTTTGACTGATCCACACTTACTGTATCTTCGTATACAGTCAATTGAAAAAGTATATCCCATCCATTTTTAAAAACTTTTTCTACATAATTCAACATATAGAGATTTGATTTTAATTTCAGTAATACTGCTAGATAAACAGAATATAACATAGTTTGAGCCCATGGAACCTGAGGAAGTGAACAAGGCCCCCTACACATACTAGTTCACCTACTTGTATATTAGATCCATGCCCTTTTGTGTTCATTATTCAGACGTGGGATTGGGTCTGAACGGTGGTTAGCTCCTCCTTGAAAGTGTCCCACCAGCTCTTAAAGACCCCCTCCTCAAAGGATCTTCTCTCAAACCAACCAAGTTGGACAGTTTTTGCCCAGTTTCCAATCTTCCCTTCCCAATGAGTGCCCTCATAGATGACATATGGTGAGAGAAGGATGGAGTAGTATGTCCATTCTGGCTCTTCTTGACCTCTCAGTGGCATTTGATACCATTGGTCATGGTATCCTTTTGGGCTGGTTCCAAGAGTTGAGGCTGAGTGGCACTGTGTTGTGCTGATTGTCTTCTTTCCTTCAGGTTTGATTTCAGTTGTTGATAAACAGGAAAGATCCAGGCTGTGCCCCCTACTTTGTGGACTGCATCAGGGATCCACTGTCTTTCTTCTCCAATTTAAAACCTACATGAGATCAGTGAGTTTAGTTCAGTTCAGTTTAGGGTGAGATATCAATATGTGGATGGCACTCAGGTTTATCTCCACACCAGGCCCCTTGGGTGATGCTGTAGACATCCTATTCCAGTGTCTGGGGGCTACTTGGGCCTGGATGGGATGAAATGGACTCCAATTCAATCTCAGCAAGACAGAGTTGCTGTGGGTATTTGGACCTTTCAGAGACAAGGGTCTTCTATCTCTAGTTCTGGATGGGATGACACTACCCCAGAAAGATCCAGTGTGAAATCTGAGGGTTCACAATGTGGTTAGGACAGCCTTTGCATACCTTTGGGTACTGGAAAAATCTATCACCCATGCCCTTGTAGCCTCCCACTTAGTTTATTGTAATGTGCTCTATAGGAGGCTGCCCTTGAAGAACATTCAGAAACATTTTAACTGGTGCAAAATGCAGCTGCACAGGTAATAAATGCCAGCTACATGGCACATGTAACACCATTCCTCTGTGAATTGCATTTGCTGCCAGTGTGTTTCTGGGTGCAATTAAAGGCTTTTCACCTTTAAAGCCCTACGTGGCTTGACACTGGGTTACCAGGGGGGCTGTCTTTTTCCAAGAGTTTCTACCTGTACAATGGATTGGACATGCTGCAGATCCTGTTAGCCAAAAAGTATCAACTGGTAGGAACTGGAAGATAAGCTTTTTCTGCTGTAGCCCCTGCTTTGTGGAATGTTCTCTCCTCAGAGATTAGAATGGTCACAACCCTGATGGGTTTTCACAGCTTTAAAATTTTTTCAAGACCTTCAACTCAATTTATTTCTTAATCCTTTTTGCTGGAAAATTGCGGAAGAATCTTAGCATTTCTCAATAAACCCATTAAATAAAATAGAAGAACACAACATTTTTTTAACAGAAGTAAATACTTAACATTCTACCTCAGTGGTATGAAAATTAAAACAAGAGAAATCCAGCCCACACCCATAACAAGAAAAATTTAAGGAATTAACTATCAAAACTACCAGTAGATAATAAACACATAGCTGAATAAATCAGGATTGACTTTCAATGTGTTCAGAATTTCAAAATCTGTAATGCTCAGTAAATATCTATACAGTAGGAAACAATAAAATCACACTAAGGAAATGAGAATTACTAATAGATCTCAAGGTTGAGTATCATCAGATAATTATCTATTACCACATTAAGTTGATAAAGCTTTTTATCAGTGTGGCTGTGCGTGACTTATAGAATTTAATGGGACACCACCACCACAATCAATTGGCCCATACTACAGTTCAAACTGATGACAAATAGTCTGTTTAACACTGGCATACCTGTAGGAAGATCTAATAGTAGGAAAATGTTTGCACTATCAAACATTGTAGTTAAACAAACTATGATGGTTTTCTTCTGAGCTGTACTTCTGGCTGAAGTACATTTATTTATTTCCTTACAAAAAGAGCATTAGAATCTAAATATATTCGTGTCTGTTGAAACTGGTGCAAATATTAGAAAAACAAGCCAACTCTAGAAATTAAGCCACTCAAAGAAAACAGCCAATTTAAAAATAAAGTAATTTATATGTACAAACATGAAAGCTGTAGGCTGCAGCAAGATATCTTACTGTAATATTATAAGAATTTCATGCTTGAATTTAACAGAGCTCAATTTTTTGTTTAATGTAATATAATACATACCAAGAAATGAACATAATGAAGAATACTAACTGAATCTTAGCATCCAGTTTCTTTATGTATTACTTTACTCCATTTACTGTTTTCAAATCCCAAAGTGTTAGTACATAACATGTGCATTATTTTTGTATGAGAATAAAACCTAAAAGGTTTAACATATTATCCCATCTGCACCTATTTTCCCAAGTACACATTATATTCCAAGAAATAAACATTTCAAAATGTCAAATTATATATTTAATTTACATTAACATCTTATGATTAATTGATTTCCAGCAATATTTAGGATGATATGAATATGATCAAACTATGTTCATGCAAATAAATCTTCAAAAGCCTGTGAACAGTTTTAATGTTTCATACTTCATATAAAATGGTTTAGATATACTCTGCAAATGATGTCAGTGAAATGTTATCAATGAAGATTATGTCAAACATTATGTTTTTATTTATGTAGATATAAAAATTCTAATTTGCAATGCTAAATTCTGTGAACCACTGAGATTACATTGTGTGGGCAATTTTCTAGTCTTCAGAGCCACCTCTAGTTAATGTTTTTTTAAATTGTTGTTACCCAAAATTATGGGCATAAAAATACAATATAGCTCAAGAACAATAATTACTAGCTAAAAGAGCTACTAGAAAAAGCACTTAAGTAGAACAGTTTAATAAACACAAACTGTTTGCTTTTGTCTATTGCTGCTGCTTAAAAAAAAACCAATACAAATTATAATAAAAAAGCTTAGAAAAGAGTTGGTTTTCCACTAAAAAATATACTTGCAAACATGTTTTCAAATCACTGTATTTTTCCCAAGATATATATATATATATATATATATTCCCTTGGAAATGTAACATAGATGTCTTTGTTAATTTATGACAATGCTCCATTATTCCATGAGATACAATATTAATAAGTTAAAACTTGAATTCCTCATATATACTGCTATCGAACAGGAGGAAAAACAGCATGAGAAACCATAAAATGTGCATGGCTAAGCATAAATAGTAACCTATACATTTTGGTTCAAACACAGTTTGGAAAACTGCATACAATGTCTTAAAATAGTTTATCCTCTATTTTCTGTAATTCTACCCAAGAAACAAAGTTCAATCACTTCAATGTAAAACATAAACTGAAATTTCATATAAATTTTGAATACCCTGACTGAAATATTTTGCAGCTGATCATTCTAATGCAAACACATTTCTTATTATTTCACTCTTCCAATTGTCCATGCTTATACCCAAGCATACAAACATAAAAAATATTAGCTAACTAAAAAAGGTACAATAGACTCTTGGTAAAAGTTTTTTTTCTCATGAGGCAATGTAGCATCTTCTAGATAAGACTTTAAAAATTACATTGAAATTTCGTTACATTTCTGTCATAAACATGCAACTTACTGTGATATACAAAACACTTGGCTCTGAAGAAAAAACAGCTTTATAAAGACAGACTGCATCAATAAAATTTTCTGATTTACATGGTAATAAAACCTGTATTTTCACTAAAGCTCAGATATTAGGTCTCATATTATAACATAATTTGTTTGATGAACGTAACGTTCAGGAGGGAATATACACATTGACATACTAGACTATTAAAAATTCAGTTACAGAATTTTATTGATACAGCAGATTAACAAAAACTAATAAGGAAAATATGAGGATCAGCTTTTGTTACATTATTTAATAACACATTTTAAAAATTAAAATATTAAATTCTTTTAAATGCTCAATGCCACAAGAAGTCTAGAGAAATCTGTTATCAATACTGAGGTGCATTAAAAGACTATTCTTTCACACATCTGCAGCTGGATGTATTGTTTTATCCCACATCGTTTAAAAGCAATTTGGCACCTCCAAAGACAGACAACTGCCAAAGGTAAACACTGAATTAGATACATAAAGAGAATGTTTTTTATTTTTAACAAATAGTGTCAGAATAAGTGTCACTATTTTGTCAAAGTGATTTTTTCACAGTTAAATGTCAAGAAAAATAAGAATACAGACACTGACAAATATTGCTTGATACCCATTCTTACTTTTTTTTGTCTTTTTCCCCAAATCAATAGCTCTACCAAACAGTCTTCTACTGTTGTGTAAAGCCGTGATAAAAGCTATACAAGCACTTTAAAGTCAGAAATATTTTTTTTAAAAAAGGATTATTTACAGACAGTTTTTTTAGTTCTTTTGCCTATATAGCCAGCATACATTACATTTCACAAAACCCCATAGTTAATGATATAAACATATGTGTGAATTATGCTCATGACCTAGGAGCTTCAAAAAGCAGGAGCAGGAAATAGAGTGATTTAATTTCTTCAGCAATCCCACTGTGAGCATAAACAATTCTCTTCAGCATAAAAGTTTGCAAATGATAAGAATGACATCATTTAAAAATGGCAGGAGCATGACTCTTCATCGCCTTTCCCTTTTAGATGTCCTCCGACGAACCTGAAAAAGCCAAAAAACAAGAACTAGAAGTCTCAATTCAAGAATGTTTTGTGTACATAGTCTTCCATATTCCAAAAACATGAGCAGTGTAAACCATACATTGGATGCAACATAAAGAATTTAAAAATCTGCATAGTGTTGATATTTATCTAGCTGTTTTGCTCTTTCAATAGATAATGCATTTTAATCGGCATTAACTGATTCATCAAGGAAATGCATCTATTAAATGCAGTGGCCCACATGGTTTTATGCAGACCCCAGTGTGCACATGAGTCACTTCTCCTGCAGAAGCTGCATTGGTTGCCGATTTGCTTCCGGGTGCAATTCAAGGTGCTAGTTATCACCCTTCATGGCTTGGGTCCAGGTTATCTAAGGAAACATCTCTTGGCAGTCACATCCACCCGACCCATTTGAGCGAGGAGGTAGGGAATGTTGCGGGTCCCACCCCTGAGGGAGATACACTGGTGGGACCCAGAAGAAGGGCCTTCTCCGTGGTGGCTCCCTCTCTCTGGAACATCATTCCCCCAGAGATTAGAATGGCCCCCACACTAATACTCTTCCGAAAGACACTGAAGACCTGGTTTTGCCAGCAGGCCTGGGAAACCCAGAGAGGGATGGAGCCCATCAGGTGGCTAGTGTGATCTGCTGTCGTCGGGGAGGGTGGGGGGGTTGAAGTTGGTTTTGATTTTTTGTTTTGTTTGTTTTCCCAAATTTTGTTCTATTGTACTTTACTAAATTTGATTATTTTTGTTAGTTTTTATTGTTTTTATTTTTATTTTTTTGTTTTAAACATGGTTTTATATTGTGTAAGCCACCTCAAGTCGCCATGGGCGAATAGGCGGCAATATAAATTAAATTTACTTACTTAATTAATTAATTAACTGGAACATCATTTAGATGAAGGCATTCCATGATATGACAAGACAAAAAGAATCAGGCAGAAAAGCTTGCCCCACTAATTGCTAAGTTTAATTGCATTTAGATGCACAGTTGAATTCAATTAGATTAAGCACAGTCCAGAATATGATGATCCTACTGATGGTTTAAAAATAATTTTCTACTTTCTCTGCATAGGTGTCCATCTGGATAAAAGCTCAGATTTAAAATAGGCACAAGTAATGCAAGAACCATGGTGGCGCAATGGTTAGAGGCTACTTCTGCTGACTGCCAGTTGACTGCAATTTGGCAATTCGAATCTCACCAGGCTCAAGGCTGACTCAGCCTTCCATTTTTCCGTGGTCAGTAAAATGAGTACCCAGATTGTTGGGGGCAATATGCTGACTCTGTAAACTGCTTCGAGAGGGCTGTAAAGCACCCTAAATCTAAGTGCTATTGCTATATTCTCCTCCTATACACATTTTGTTGTACTACATGAAATGGATTTCTCTATTTCTTCCCAAAGAAAAAGTCTCTCACTTTTAAAAAAGGGAACTGCCAATTCTGCTTTACTATATTTAGTAATATCAAAGATAGCATTTTACTAAAGCTTCAACTGTATGAAATGCATAAACATTCAAAGAAATTTATATGCAATTGTGCATAAACATATTATTTACTCTGATTGAGGACACTTCTTCTTCTTCCATTGTTACTTCTTGAGGAATATCATGAATGGGAGAACTACTTTGAAATACATCCATCTCTTCACTAGATTCATTTTCTTTGCTTGCTGTTTGTTTTGATCGTCCAGCTCCTCTAAAATAGAAAGCCACAAGCCAAGGTATCACTCAACACTTTAAATTTAAGCAATGAAGAAAGATTTGGAGAAAGAATTAGACTATCTTAGCATCTAAGTAATATTAAATTGTTATTTCTGTGAACTTTATTGTACTCACAGGATCGTCTAAGCTTTAAACATTTTTAAAATTAATTTGAACCCCTTGTTAGATTGACATCATATCATACCCTTTCTTCTGCTGAGTGGGTGGAACTTTTGGTGGTCTTCCTCGTCTTTTTTGCGGTGTAGACTGGTTTGATTCAGCTGTACTTATTTCTGATGATTCAGATCTGTTTTGGAAGGATATCCAACTCGGTCATCTTGTCAATTTAAATTTAAAAATAGCAGACAACTGAACAAAGAACTTACCTTTGTTGTGATTTTTTGGGTGTTTTGTACTGTCGACCTTTTGACTTCTGTTCTATGCTGTCTATCTGACTTTCTTCCTCTTCTTCCTCCTCCTCTTCTTCCTCCTCCTCTTCTTCCTCCTCCTCCATAGGTTTAACTGGCACAGCTTTTTTTCTCCCTCTTTTAGATGTTTTTACTGTTGATTCTTCTTTTTGTATGCTTCCTGTGGTGGCCTTTGGTGGTCGCCCTCTTCTTCCCTTCTTTGGTGGACTGTTTTGTTCATCTTCACTTTCTAAGATACTCTCTTTTAACCTCTTTTCCTCTGACCACTGAGGTTCCTCAGACTCTGAAATAACTGCAGCTCTTTTTCTGCCTCTCTGGCTACTTCTAAGTTTTGGTTCTTGTCCTAATTTGCTCAGTTCATCCATTCTCAACTTTTCTTCAGGATCTGTAATCATTTTCTTTCTACTTCTGGGCTTTTCCAGCTCTGACTGAGGAAGAAAGAGAACACTACTTCATCCATCAACTATGTCTAGATCTTACTTACATAAGGAAATATGAACCCACTCCAGAAAAAAACTGAAAAAACACCATATTTTAATACTCCAATATTGTATTTTTCTTTATGGCATAATAATATAAAAACTGACCAGAAGGGCCATATAAAAACTGTAAGAAAATACATGTTTTTAAAGCACTCTTTCTAAACCTTGTGCCTTCAGATGAATAATCATCAGGCACATCTCTGATTGCTTGCATTTTTTATTATTTCTAAAAAAATAATGTTACAATTGATTGAAAAGTAATGCTGTTAATTCTTACAATTTCAGAATCATCTCTTTTATCATTCTTCTTTCCTGGCAGAGATGATGCCATTGTATAGTCTTCATTTTCACTGTGGTCCAGTTCAGTGCTATCAAGCCTATTAAAATATGCAAAATTATTAAAATATATTTTAATAATTTAATAATAAATTTTTGCCTCAAAAATACCCCTATCATCCCAAAAAGAAACAGGGTTGCCAAGGTCAAAAAGCACTTCCTTATATTGCATTTTCACTGATAAACTACATGTCCTTATGAAGTACTTTTTGCAACTTGGTTGTTTGCCTGTAGACATTTCATTACCTGAAAGGGTAACCAAGGGAGCAAAATGAAGGGAGGAAACCCCACATTCACTAGCACTGATGTTACTTAGGAGGATAATGAAACGTCTGCAAGCAGAAATCCAAATTCATAGAACAGCAAGGAGTCCAAAATTCAGCTGAGCTACAAATATTTTCTTCTATTAGAACTATATTGTTATTATTAAAGTGTAGTCAGTAATTTATAAAATATAAGGAAATGTGAGACAGTAGTGGTTATGGCATCAGATAGAAACGAGGAGACCATGAATTCTAACCCTGCCTTTGGCACAAAGCTAGCTGAATGAGCTTGGTCTAGTCACTAAGTCTCAAGTCTTAGGAAGGAGGCAATGCAAACCACCTTTCAAAAACCTTGTCAAGAAAACTGCAGGGACTTGTCCAGGAAGTCTCTGAAAATTGGACACAACTGAACAGAAGAAAAGGAAAATGTATATATGTATTAAGACTTGGTTACTGACAAATAATGCCTAATTGTTTGGTTTTACTGAGAATTAAGCTAAATTCCATTACTCAATTTTGTTTATAGGATACATTGTTATCTCAATCTTCCTATCAAGCAATGGCTTTCTCCTGCAATAATGCACATAGTCTTTGACTTATAACTATTTGTTTAGTGACTGTTTCAAACACTGACACGTGCTATGACTGTTTTTCACATGACCGTTGCAGCATCCCCATAGTCATGTGATCAAAATTTAGACACCTGACTCCTATTTATAATGGTTGCAGGGTCCTGGGATCATGTGATCACCTTTTGCAACCTCTTCTGACAAGCAATGTCAATGGGGAAGCCAGATCCACTTAACAATCATTTACTAACTTAACAACTGCAGTGATTCACTTAACAACTGTGGCAAGAAAATCATAAAATGGGGCAAAATTCATTTAACAGATGTCTCACATAGCAACGGAATTTGGGGACTCAATTGTGATCGTAAGTAGAGGACTACCTATATTTTATTTCAGCATCGCCTTAAAGTAAACCACTGCTGTAGAGACATGCTGGTATAATCATTATGATACCAGCCTTGAAAATGGGAAAATGAATTCTAGTTTCAATTTCAGCCCAAAGCCAGATGGATGATTTTGGGCCATTCTCTATCTCTCTCAACCCTAGAAAGGAGGCAATGGCAAACTGTTTCCAAAATCTTGCCCAGAAAGTTCCAAGGTCTTCTCCAAGCAGTTGCCAGGAGTCAACTTCATTATAGAATATCTTACTACTATACCACAGAACAGAATAATTATACTATGTCCCTGAACAGTTCTTAGTCTCTTTTAAACATCACAGGTACATTGGATTATCATGTGAATCAACGCATTTCTACAACTTTTTTTTGTGGTAGTGGTTAAGCAAATGCCACAGTTGTTAAAAGAATCAATGGTTCACCATGGCTTAATTCTGCTGAATATTAGAAGTGCTGTTTTTTGGCAGAATTGTTGTAAAACATGGTAACATGACCGCAGGACATTGCAAATGGCTGTAAATGTGACCTGGCTGCTGAGTGTCCAAAGTGTGGTCATGCGACTGGGGGTGAAGTCTGATCATCAGAACTGGAAATTCAGGTCATAAGTCCTCTTTTTCAGGCCAGTTCAAACTTCAAATGTAAATGAACAACAAACTATTACTTTACAGTATTTAATTAACTAAATGCAAGCCAAATATTGTTAAATGTTTTAGATATTTCTACCCAGCAGATTTAGGGCTCATAGAAATTTTGTTGCTGTTTCATAAAAATTCTGCTATTTCTTTCTGAATCTAAACAAAGTTTTTATACTGCTGCAGTTCATATCCTGGTTAGCTAAAAAAACCCAGCCTGCAATCATAATTTAGCAGTTTGAGAGCTAAAAAAAATCCATTCAAAAGAAAGGCGAAGAGGAAGTATACAAATCCATTTTGTAATTAACAAAATGTATAATTAGTAAGATGCAATCCAAATCAATGTAAGCTACTCAAAATACAAAACTATTTTGCATCAATTAATACAGCATTTTCTCCTTTAAAGAACCATTTTTCATTTAACAGGTTAATTTGGAAAAAGTAATTTTCAAGGCAGCCTATTACAGCTTATGGATCTGAATCATGTAATACAATGGTATAATACAATACTTAAAACAAACTCTATTCATGCTCTATAATTCTTCAATATGGTTTTCTCAGTTTGAACTAAAAGGTATCAGCTACACGAATTCATTCATTTTATTTATTTAACAAATATAGAAATGAAGATCACGTAAGAAACAAACACAGAATGATATAAAAACAACATTCTGTCATACTGCTAGGTATTCAAATACAGGATGAAGTGTAGAGAGAAACTTGTATTACTTACCTTCCTTTAATTCTTCCAGGTGAGCTTGGGTTTGAATTGCTACTGGCATTGCTTACAGTTTCCATCCGAGAAGATTTGGATTGAGATTGCTTGCCTGCAGTTGAAAGAGGCTTATTAACTGCTCCAAGAACATTGGCTGCTTTGGGCTGTAAAAGATAGAACAAATCAGTTATCCATTAAATCTATATGTTATGATTATACTTTCTAAAATAAAAGACAAAACTTCAAAATCTAAGTTTGTAAACTCTTCAGAATATCTTAACATACTTTGAAAAAAAAGTTTTCAATCAGTTAGTCAATGGCCTCTGAATTAATGTTGGTCAACAATGTTGGAACATCAGCAGTTCAGCAAGACACTGTTGAATTCAAGCAGTATACATGTTCCTGCAATATACAGTACATTACTGTTAAGAGGCTTTCTTGAAGATCTGGCTTATTTCCTAAACATTGGTTTGATACTTAATAATGCTCTGTTGTTTTAATCCCTGTCATCCCAGTATCCCCCTGTATCACCCATATACTATGTATGAAATCAGCTTCAGCTCTACTAGATCCTTACCATGAGGAGTAATGCAAAATGATCAATCCTGGATTATACTAATCAGAATATTAATGAAGTATCCAAAGTTCTGCCCTCACTATAGCTTGAAAATCAATCTGCTCTTAGGCTTCCATCACTAACGTCTTTCAATCCTTCTATTGTTCGAAGACTTTTCAGCACTTAAAGATTGATGGTCTTGGTTTTTAAAATCATGCCATGTAATCTCTGCAATGCAGTATAGGTGGAATTGCCTTTGAGTTAGTAGCTAAATATTAACATAAAAAATATACAACCCTCATTGTAATAAATAATTTCAAAATAACTTTTTATTGTAAGAAATTTATTTTGGTTGAACAGAATTATTCTGTGAAAGTCCTAAAAATATACAAATGCCCACCTTTCCTGGAGTAAAAAATGATTTCATTTCTGGAGGCAGATAGTTTTTGGTATTACTGAAATTCTGCAAGTAAAGGAAAAAATGTAGATAAGATTCCAGTTTAAAGATTAAACAGGGATTGCATAATTGATATGCAGTTACATAATTGACTATGAAACTAATATGACATTTTGAGTTGATTCCAAAGAAAAGTGGGATAAAAGTAAAACGAATAATCCACACAATGCACTTCATATCACATAAAATTCATAATCCTTTGGGTTACCTGGCTACATTATGCATAATATTTACTTTAAAAAACTATTTTTTTAACATGTAGTTCCAATGAAATTTATAGGGAAAAAAAAATCACATTACTTTGTCAGGCTGAGTGAAATATCGAGCTGGTAATACAGGGTCTTTGGGAGATTCCAAACTATATGTTGTGCTCTTTGACATTATGATGTTCATTGCTATATCACATACTGTATAAAGTTTCTGAAAGAGAAAGCGTGATTTTTTTTATAACATCAGAAAATATTAATAATAAAAGATCTGAAAAGACAAAAGGAATCTTTGGAACCCCATGTTTTGTATAAAAATTCTACAGTAATATCAAACAAAATAAACTTACCTATTTCAGAAGTATACTATACCAAATAAAAAAGCTTTACAATTGTTTGGAAAATTACAGTATTTATAAACAGTGAATAATTATAAAGCAACTTAAGACAATTTCTACTGGTTATCATAGAATAGAATAGTGATAGTTCCTTTCACAGGAACTATCATAGGCATATCATATTAAATTTTGTTTTCAATCTTGAATTCTTGGAAAGGGCAGACTATGGAGAAGCCCAAATTTCTAAATAAAAGAGAACTAATTATTTATATACAGCCAATTTACAACCTAGATAAAGATTCACTATGTCTATATAAATATTAGCAATATGCAATAAAACTTACTTCATTCATTTTTGTGTCTTCAGGTCCTTGGGCATCTTTTGTCTGTTTAATATTCTCTACCATTTTTCTGATAAATGCATGACTATTATTTTCATTTTTAGCCATTAATATTTCTAGTATGAACCACAGACACCTGAAGAAATATAAAATATAGCTGTCAAATAACCAGTTGATTTTCTTGGAGAATAAATTAGGTACTGAATTGTGAAAAAACATTATCATAGTTGTGGTGAATATTTAATTAAAATATAAATCAGTATATTAATATACCGAAATTTTTCATTTAAAATACATTCTTACTCTTTAATATCTTTTAGTTGTTCAATGTCTTGGATTTTGACATAATCAGGATCATGTGCCAGAAGATGGATAGTGTATGGAACAACATACTCTGGTAGAAGTGACAAAAGTTTCTCTGAAAGTGTAAATTCAAGAAAATTTTTAACATTTGGATGTATCATAACAGTAATAAAATAAATGATTATTTTATATTAAATATACATTAGATTATAGATTATCTTCAACTGCATAAAATAAAGAGACAGTCATTATGTGCAGAAAAGATTTAAAGTTCAAGAAAAATTAGCCTAGTATATAAATAGCTTCAAAGCACAATCAACATGCACTGAAACTTACGTGTTCTAATTTAAACAATTACTTGGTTTGAAATTCTATGCCATGAAGTTTCTAGAAAGATGGATGTATTTATTTAAGCCTCTCAATTGCAATCAAGTGAATCTGATGCAAAAAAGGCTTGAAAACAAGCTATAGAAAAAGGTGGTATGCATCTATCTTAGGCAAATCTGTAATATGTATTTTTTTAATGTGACTAGGCTTACAATCTTTTAGGCATAAAGAGAAGCAAGCCCCAGAGCAGGATGGAAAGCATGCTTGCATTATTGAACAAACAGATTTGACCTCAGAATTCCTTAACATCCAGGATACATATTGTTTTTACAATTACTGAATACCATTTTAAGTAAAACTATAGATAGAGGATAGGAGAATTCAGCACTGGTTCTGGGAAGCTGCATTAAGAAATGAAATAGTTGAGTAGATATGCATATATACTGTTAAAAGGCATAGAATGCACAGTCATGGTAAGAACCAAATTTAAAATAATATAATTCATATTTATTCATAAAATGTATTTTTTCCTAAATCAAGGCACTACAGTAGCACACATTTTAATGTAAAAACAAAATAAAGAAGAAATCAGGGTTATAGTTACAGCACCAAAACTAACAAGAACAAAGATCAAATAGCAGCAAGATCACAATAAACAAGAAACTAGACAGAATATTCAAAGTTGTTTAGTGCTGCTATCTGATATCACACAATAGCTTTGACCATCTTTCACAAATATAGAATCATAATCCAGGTGCTTCTCACAGATAAGGTTGTGCTTTATGCACTTTACAAGATAATGGGATACAGAAAAGAACTAAATTATACTACTAGTAGTATTAGGAAAGTTCAATGAAGAGAAGACTGCTATCATAAACCCAAAGAAAGCATAATAATTATTTAAAAATAATAATCAGCAGTTGGAACTGGGTTTAGAAGCAAATCAAGACTCAATGCAATCAATATAAAATTGTTATGTCACAACCACATTCTTCCACTTTGGAAAAACATTTAAGGCAAACTGTATTGGTACAGAAAATAAATTTAAATACAGAAGGACATAGTGTTAACATTGTACTTTAAATTATTCTGCTAGTACTCCAAGATTTCTTACCACTAACTGCTGCATGCTGTTTTAGATATTCTCTTCTCACATTTATGTTTTTTACTAGGCACTGTCTGGCATGAGCTCTTCTCTCCTTTACTGGGTCTTTTGCACACAATGCACAAATAGCCATATATTCCAGTGGTAACCTGAGTCTTGATAGGCCTTTGTGAAGTTTCTGAGCAAATGCTTGCCTAACTTGGTAACACTCATCCTAAAAAAAAAGAAAAGAAATTTTATATAACTATGACTCTTTGACATCTGTTTTAGGAAATACAAAGCCAAACTGCTTGCCACAGAAATTTGAAATGTATAATAAGCATTTAGAGATAATATTACTTAACACCCATTCCTTCAATTTTCTTACATTGATAGCTAATGCACACAGTTGGTACTGTTCTAATGTGATGATTTCATGATAACAAGGTTCCTGTGCCAGCTTGACAATAGCACTAGCAGCAGCTAGCCTTAGACGAGACATATCAGGTTTGCTGAAAAAGAAATAGAACATATGGTCTAGTTAGTGTATGGCTGATTTATTGAAGGCATTTTTGCTTATTTTCTTGTTTCCAGCACTAGGTATACTGTAGATAGTAATCATTTCTATCTTTGAACATGCATATTTAAGATGGTACTGAGTTCAGAAGACATCTCACCTTGTTTAACTGAATTATGCACAATGATTTTGCCTATCCAGCTTCTCTGCATTTACTGTTGAATCAAAAAGTATCCCATTATCTAGTTTCATCTCCTTTAAAATAAATTGCTTTTGAGGTTATGATGGCAACTAGGACTAGAATTTCCATTGTTAAGCAATATGTTAACTTAGCAATAGCAATCCTAGCAGCAATCGTGACCCGAAAACCACACAGGTAGTTAAGTGAGACCTAGTGTGGCCATGAAATGGGAAGAATGGGAATCTCAGGCAAGCAAGCCAATAGGTAAGAGCAGTAGGTGGGCAGGTAGGTGCCATGGGCAAGTTCTATGGAGTGCAGGCAAGTGGGTACTATGGGTGGGCAGCCACAAAGTTGCATGAGCAGATATATGCTAGGGAAAGAGGGCGAGTGCCTCAGGCTGGTGCTGCAGAGCATGGGTGGGTGCTATGAGCACAGGAGGCCATGGGTGAGCACTATGGAGCATGAGTAGCCAGGGAAAAAGTGATAGGAATGAGAATGATTTGCAACCCCCTGCCAGCTTTCCCATAGACTTGGTTTGGGGGAAGATGGCAGGGTAAGTTGCAAATAGTTGTCATGTGATGGGATGTTGCAAATGTTGTTGTAGTGAACCAGATACCACATGCCTGGATCTTATGGCCTTGGGAACACCGCGACGACCACAACTTCAAGGACTGGTCATAAGTCTCCCTCATTCAGCACTATCGTAATTGAGTCTTTGATTATAACGGAAGGACTACTTGTACTTACATAATAAAGCTATCACATTATGTGGGAAATATTCTCATTTTCTTCCTTTATTTACTACTATTTCTAAAGCAGCAAGATGTTCTGTTGAAACTAGAGTTACTAAATTCATCAAAGTAAGGCAGAAAATTCTGCTCAGAATGGCTCAGAAATATAACATATTTTCATTTCCTGTATTATTTGAAAAAATGTTTGTAATGTTGCTTTAAAAGTATTTATATACCTAATTTTCCCCTGTTCAGTTAGATCTCCATCACTGTGCAAGATTGTTGTTAACAGTCTTAATGTAGATGTTCCTGATTTACTGTGGTTATTCTTCATTCCTAGTAACCATCGAACCATCATCTTAATTGCCTGGATCTGAAATAAATGTTAATGAATAATCAAGCCAAATTTTATCATTATAACAACTCAAGAAATTTCATCTTGAACAGGGATTTTTTTTTTCTCCAAAAGCATTATAAGAAAAATATAACTTGGCAAGTGAGAAAATTTCAAATTTATTTTTTCCTTAAACCAAATTAGAAAGTGATTCATGCACAATGTTCTCCTTAAAGGAACTGTTAACATTCTACAGGGAGGGTGCTCTACTTTATCACTGGGGAAAGATTCACATCATTAGGAAAAGATCTTGAGAGCCTTAAAAATCTGGTTCTTTCCCACTCTTTGCATTGTTGGGTATATGATATCAACTTTATCATCAGATTTGTCATCTGTTTGCCATTTTATGTAGATTGTTATTTTTTATATTGTTAACTACCCATTCAGTCTTCAGTAGGGTAATACCTAAATTGAATAAATGAAATATATGAATTTTAAATCATTTATTTGGTGTTATTACTAATGTAGCAAGCATTGCTGTTATCGTCAAAGTACAACACAAGTTTGGAAAAACAGAATCCAGTGACTCTATTGTAGTATCCGTCTTTACCAGAAGGGCTATGCAATTGTTTCTTTTAATTTGGAAGAGTGTTACAGATTCTATTTTAAAAAGCACTTTGGAACTTAATGAGATTTCAAATTGAGACTGTATAATTACCAACGTATCATTTGGCAGTTTGTGAATACGGCAGAGTTGTAGTATTACTTCATAAACTAACATGCTACTAAGAACAATTGTAGTTTTCTGTACCTGCAAATCCCATTGCATTATAAGGGTCCGCAGATTAAGGCTAAGCCAGTCCACAACTACAGGACAAAAATTACATTACTCCATATTATACTTCTAGACTTACACTTTTAAGTGTCTGCCATCTAACTGTAAAAGGGATAATGTCTAGAAATGTTCTCCTTAACAATGACTATATAAAAATGAAATAGATTATTACTGCAATGATTTAAATTAGACATGCATACAAATATCAAATTAATGTTAATAATCAATAATTCACAATTTTTATCAATATTTTATTATATGCAAAGTTACTTCATTTTTAGTCCAAAGTAAATCAAAATGTGTTACTGCAGCTACATCATGTTTTTCAAATAAGATTAAAGTAGCACTTTAGATAGAGTAAAATCAAAGTAATTATGAAAATATAAGTTTTTAAGTAGTGTACCTTTACAAGAGTCTCTGGAGAAACTTCTTCATCTGGCACCCATAGCTTAGTTGTTTTTTTTCCTGGCATCTGAAACAAATTATATCAGTTGCTACTTTAGTATCATAAATATTTATACATTCTACCTTGAAGAACACATAGCTATGTTTCAAGATAATTTCAAGCTTTTTTCAAAGTCTAAGAACTGTCCAAATATCTCCATAACATGTAAGCAGTCTCAAGTAAAGCTGTTTTAGAAGGCGGATATTTTAAGGACAAAAAATTCTACTCTGTTCAGCTGTTTTGGCAATTCTACTGTTTTAGCTCCTAGAACTACAATAATTATTATTATAATTAATAACTATTATTTTTGCAGTATTTCAGTATTATTTCTCCATTATTGATTATAAATAACCATTAATTTGTTTGCAGTATGGCAGTATTATTTCTCTATTTCATCTTCAGCTTTAATGATACATTATGGTCTCTTAATACAGACAGAAATCAAGGTATGAGTAGCTGCCCTTAAATAGCTTAGCATTTCTTTTTGGTTGCAGCAAACCAATAAATATTTTGAAGACACTGAAACCTTACTAGGATTTTTACTTTGATGATAAAAATGAGGTTTATTTTATGAAATTAAAGATATTTGCATTTGATTTGTTGGAATACTTTAATCTGTTGGAACAGATTTATCTTGAAAAGGCTAATCCTCACTTCCTCCTAAAGTAGAAGCATAGAAGCAAGTCACAGAAGCAACAGAATATTAGTGTTATAAGAAAACAGTGGATGATGAAGAGATGGAGACACTGACTGATTTTAATGCTGACTGGAAACCACTTTTGGACTTTTTGTACAAAATAGAAAAAAATGAAATGATGATATATGATTTTGATGATTAAGAAAAAAAAAAGAAAAAAAGACAGTTGTGTTGTCCCCTTAGAATAAGAGGGCATTTTGAATTTATACTTATAGCTGATGTAAAAAAAACCCAGAAGTTATTTCTTTTCTCGTTCTTTTTCATCTGCACTTCTGGTTTGTTCTTTGTTTCTTTACTTTTTCTCTTTCTGTAATTATTAGTTACTGTTAGTTTTTAACTCATTTTAAAATTATAAAAAAATATAGTATGTGAAATAATGTTCAGAGAATCTGAACCAATCTGGTGTCCTCCAAAAAGACTACAAGGGATAACAGACATGACCAAAAGAATTGGTACTCTTCTATTTTTAACTCATATTCATATTTGTCATGGAATAAATTGAAACTGACACAATTAAATGGCATCTACCATACTTTATTCCACAGTTCATACAGTAAGCTGTTGATATATGACTAGACATGATCTTAAAAATTGAGGCAATAATTGCAAGCAGGCACTTTCTGGAGCTCTGAATGAGATTTCTACACTTCTCAACCAACAATATGTTCCATTCTTGTCCCACCTGCAAACTGTTTCTTGTCTTAGATTTGATGGCTTCTCTCAACTGTGAGTTTCAGCTCTTTCCAAACATATTCAGATCAGGACACACAGCAGGACACTTTAGAACATTCCAATGTTTACTTTTCAACTTCCTGAAATGTATTACATGTATATTTTGGGTCAATATCCTGTTTGAGAAACTATGGCTGAAAACAGAGCTTTCTACCACTGGGCATGCTTTTCACCACAAAATGCAGTGATCATCTTCCTTGTACCCTGAAGATTCGAGGCACCCAGTGCTGGAAGCAGCAAAGCAACCCATAAGAGCGACCCATGGAGATTCTTCCAAATTTCACAGTAGAGATGGTGCTGTTTTCTTTAAAACCATTGTTTTTCCCTTCTGTGAATGTAAAGTTGCTGTGACTTATCAAAAAAACATTAATTTTGTTTCATCTCTCCAAAGGACATCATTCTAGGACTGTGGGTTGTCAACATGCATTTACTAAATTTCAGTCTGGAGTGGGGTTTAAAAGTGGGGCTTACCCAGGTCTGAAATCATGGAATCATGTTCACTTAGATAGTGATGGATCTTGTAACTTGATGCGTAGTTCTTGATCTTAGAAGTCAATAGCTTTTGTTCTGAAATTTTCCTTTGCTCTTATTCCACCATTCAAACTATCTTTCTGTTCTAATTTTCTTCTGATGGCCATATCTAAAAAGGCAGATTACCATCTAAACCTCTTGATAACATTAATAACTGTGGTCCAAGGAACAGGAAGCTCTTTGAAATCAGTTTTGTAGTCTTTAATTTTACTATGCTTACTGTTACCATCTTCCTTTCCTCCTCAGATAACTCTCTGCTTTTCTTTCTCTTGTCCATGTTCACTGTGCTGCACACAATGACAAAAAACATCTGAGTACTTTTCCTCATTCAAACAGGCTAAGTGACTGATTATGAGACTGAAGATACCTGTGACTGTAATTAAAGGGTCTGTTAAGAGATCATTAAAACCCAATGAAGACTTTTAATTTTTAAGGGTGCCAATAATTTAATCATATTCATATTATTTTCTTTTATTTTTGCCAATAATATTAAGTTTTACATCCAAAACAAAGTGTACCCACTATGTCAAATAGCTGTGGCAGTTTAAATTTACTTCATAGGAAATTGTAATTGGGGGGGGGGGGGAATGGAAGGTATCAATAATTTTGGCTATGTCTGTATGTGAATCCAAAACAACATGAGGTAACCAGGTGGAGGCACAGTAGATACATTTATAAGTTCACATTATTTAATAGAATAGTGTTTATACACACAATGTGTGCATATGTTGTTATAGAAAAAGGAAAGGAACTGAATAAGCAGGAGTAAAAATTCAATTTGATATTTCTCAAGAAACTTATTACATTCTTGGTTTGTCTTCATTACCCTTCATAAGTTTACATTTTATAATTCCTCAACTGAGTATGCTGGACATACTAAGAACTGTATAGCTATTTTCTCTTGTTAAATACACACAATATAATGTATTTTATTATTTTTCTCATATTTTTTTTACTGCATAAAGCAAAACCATTCTTACCCTGTCACTCATTAACAAATCTTTAACTATAAATGTAGCCACCAAAGATTTCAGCGGGGCAGCAAACTGATCAGGAGCCAGCAAGGCTATGTGGCCGATAGAAACCAGTGGTGTAATCAGATGTTCCAGATTACTTGGATCGAGACTCTTATGTAGTGGCTAAAATATATAAATGATAAATGTTAATATCCATATGCCCTTAAAGAAGAGTCCGCTGCAAGCATTTAAAAGCATTTTAACCAAAATCAAATGATTCAGATTTTTCTACTATAAATGAACTATAAACATAAAATTTAAAAAAATACCTCAAATATCTGTGCGAATTGTGTTTCTTTACTGGAGAATATTGCATGGATGCAGTGAATGGCATACTTGGCCTGTCGAGGAGGACCTTTTTTAGCTTTATGTTGTAAAACTGGAAGTAAAGCTCTAGAGTAAAAAAACAAACATAAATAATACTGTATGAGTAGTTTTGTTTAATGAACTTGAACCATTGTATATTTAACTTGAATCCTTGTGTATTTAATCAGAATTTTGCTACAATAGGCTCTGTTCCTAACTATACAGGATTTCCCGTATTCATAATATAAATGGTGACCCACCATGCAAATCAAAAGTTCAAAAATCATCCCACAATTTATGTACATATGTAATATAATCTGCTTGTTTATGTGCTTTTTCAATCATAGTGACTCTGAATCCAATATTGCACTTGCACATGGACAGCACCTCTCTTCCTGATTCTGTGCATGCTATACCAAAGAATACTTTAACAAACTTGAGGTGTTTAGGTTCCAACCTTTTTCTTCTAAACCATTTTTGAAGCAGCCACAATCCTAGTCTATAAAAAGCTTGTATATGCAACGATGCACTTACTTTTTAAGTACAATTTCTAAAATCTGTGACAATTTATCTAGTTCTTAAAGATAAAGATAGTCTCATACAAACAGAGGGAAAGATTTCATTCTTTTAAATCATCATTATTCCTCAGCATAAAAGACAATGTAAATTCCAGGAATAAAAACATCAAGGGAACCAACTAAAATATAACAGTAAAGTGAAATCTTTAGGGCCCTCATCTTGCTAGGAAAACATATAGGAATGCTACTGAAATATACATAAGTATACTTTAAACATACTTATTTGCTTAGCCTTCATCTGGTGGGTAATGTGCTCGCCTAAAAAAACAAGAAACCACTTTAGTCTAGTCCCTACCTTAGGCATGAAAGTCTATTGGGTGACTTTGGGCCAGTCACACTCTCTCAGCCCAACCCACCTCACAGGGTGGTTATTGTAGAGAAAATATTATGTATAAATGGAATGAAGTCAGTGGTGGGATTCAAATTTTTTTACTACCGGTTCTGTGGGCACGGCTTGGTAGGCGTGGCAGGGGAAGGATACTGTAAAATCTCCAGTCAGAGATGGTATTTGCCGGTTCTCCGAACTACTCAAAATTTCCACCACCGGTTCTCTAGAACTGGTCAGAACCTGCTGAATACCACCTCTGGATGAAGTTCTAATAAACAATATAGAATTAACTCACGATCTGATATGTAAAAAATTCTCCTCAATTCTGCTTCCTGTGTTCTTAAAAATCTGTAATGCAGCTTCAGCTACTTTTTCATCATCCATTTTTAAACAGGCCAGGAGAGATTCAAATGTTTCAGCTGAATGGAATGAGATAGGGTGGGTAAATGAAAGAACCTGCAAGAGTAAGATTAAAAGGGTTTTTAAAATCATTCTTGTGTTAACCTATGCTGACTGAATATATCTCATTGAATCAATCTTGACAAATCTTTATGTATCTATGGATAAACATCAAACACCCTAGTTCCAATTACAATAAGGATCTATCTAAATGGCTTATGTATAAATCTAATGAGCTACAAATGCTCATTTAGTGACTGATTGAGCCTCAGACATGCTCCATAGCAACACTATGGATGGCTAGTAGATTTTTACTTACCTTTGGTGACATTCAATTTTGTACTCTATCACCGTCAATGTTATATTATCAATTCTTAGAAAAAAATGGGACAACCAGACCTGCTGACCATATGAATTAGAAAAATTTTAAATTAAATAATGTAGATTTCTAAATGGGGCAGGCCATACTAATAAGTGCCTATGGCTCCAACAAAGGATAGAGGTGATTGCAAAGTTAGATATCAGTCTATAACACAACTGAATTAGATTAATTTCATATTTACTTCCTTTCCTTGTCCTTCATTTCATGAAAGTCACTATTATTAAAGTAAAAAAATGTAACAAAAATTATTACAATAGTGTTTTAATAGAAAAATTTACCTTAAGCAATTCAAGACCTGCTCTGATTGCCAGATCAGTAGGGACACCTTCATCTTCATCATCTGCTGTCCCATCTATGGATTTGTTTACTTGTTTAATAAGGGCACTAATAAAGGAAATGATAAAGAACCATATTGGACATTCCATTTAAATGTGATCATGTGGAAGCAGTATATTTGAGCAAGAAACTTTTCCTTTAATAGAGCAATGGCACATATTTAAGATATACATTTTTCTTCTCATTAATACTGTTGTAATCATTCAGTTGTGTTATGCTTAATAAGATAGTGAGTGATAGAATCTATTTTCTTTAATTTTATCTGGTATGAAATAAGGTGTCATTACAAGCAAGATAAACATTGCTCCAAGTTATCATTGTAATTCTTCCATTGTCAAACCCTAACATCTTTACATAGTAAGTACAGTCTCTATCTTGCAGCAACCAAATGTTTTTCTCTTTCTTGACTAAGCTTTTTCCTCCCTTTGTCACTTTGACAAAAAAATGAATGTTAGGAAAAGAAGCGAATGAATCATAAACCTTCAATCAATACAAAGAATAAGTTCAGCCTCACCCCCAAAATTTCCCCACTTTTTTCTCCACTCAGTAAGACACATTACAATGTAAGATTTAATAGAGAAACACTACAGCATGTCAACTTAAAAGAATTTTCTAAGCTTTCTCAGTTTAATTTAATTTTAATCCCAATGTAAGTGAAAAGAAATACCTGATGGATTCGGTGTCAATGTGCACAGGAGCTATCCTCTCTAAAAGAAACTTTACCATTTCCAAAAAAGGGTTTGTAGGTTGCTTGGGATTGCCTAACTTCTTTGTAATTTCACGCTGCAATAGTAATTAGGAGCACTTTAGAAGACAGACAATTTAATAACCCCAAATAAGCTATATTTTAGCATCTATTCTTACCACACATCCTTCAGCTTGTTTGCATGAACAAGTTGGGCTAACAAGCATTTCCAACTGGTGTTTTATTTTGTCGTCATCTTCTAGAACTTGAGTGAATTTCTTCATGAAATCCTGTGCTTTGCCAGGATCTGGCAAATTTCCTTTATGGAAATAAAACCCAAGGTTATGTTCAACAGAAAGCTAATCATTAAACAAAGCTTTTCTACTATAAGTGGCATTCTTTACATTCTTTTACAACATAAAAGTAAATCAATAGAAAGAATAAGGCACAAATATGTATGTAATTATATCTTAATAATTTTAGCTATTTCATGAAGTGAAGTGTAAACAGTTTCATACATTGTAAAACAAGACAAAGGTTCAGGTGCTTTTAAAGCTTTTGTCACATAGCAAGCAAAAAAAAAAATCCATGCTTTGAATTGTATGTGACTGAAGCAGCATGAAGAATTAAACAAAAAGATATAAGATTATACAACCAGATAATATATTTTGTTAATTATAAATAATTCACAGAGCCCTGTGGCCAATTGGTGTAAGCTAACATAACATTAAAAAGATGTTAAAATATTGTTTCCTAGCAGAATTTTGAATATCTTTAATAATTCTACACAAACTATTCAAGGAAGGCATATTTTCAACTAAATCAATCAAAAAATGAATCCTATTAATCCTTTGATATATTAATTGTATTAGGTTGCAAGATAACATTAGTTTTATACAACTTGCCTTAATCCATTTCAAAGGTCACTTACTCAAAATTAGGAAAAATGATTGAATGATTGAAAGTATCATAACATAATATACATAAGTAATATTTTCTCAAATGTTAAATTTAAAATATAGAAAAAAACTTACTTGTTATTACCATCACTTTGGAAAATATAGCTTTACTGCTGGCATCTGACTGGAAATTAAAAGAAGGTTTTTCAATGACAGGCTTTATAATACAATTTAATACTTTACATTCTTTCATTAATAGGTAAGATAATTCCTTTACATTAGTAAATAAATTATACAGAACTAGAAGCATGTCATTAATTTAGTTTGATCTATTCTGTATTTTCAAGTGAACCAGACAATTGTGCATTTGTAACTCCTACAAAATCAGTTATCATTACTGCAATTTTGAAAAACAGTTCTTAGCTAAAAAACCAGCAGAAAATATCTATTGTATTCATTAATATTTTTTTTGCATCCTTTCCACAGAAACCAACAGGCTAATCTATAACTTGTTAAAAAATCATAACAAAAGCCAACAATAAAACATATACTTAAAGCAAGATGCATATGTTACATATGCAATGCTAAATTAAAAAAACCAAACCAATCCTGATCTGAAGTTTGACTTTTAATAAGTATACCCATGTGGGCTATGAATGCTAGCCTATAGCCTTGGAGTTCTGAGATGGTTTCCCCATCCAATCCTGCTTAGATTCTGAGATTAGCGAAGGTCAGCTAGGTGCTACCACCAATTGAATGGAAAACATTTTAAAAATGCTGAAAAAATGCTGAAAACCATGGTAAAAATTCATTTTTATTTTACATCACTGATGAAAAACATGATGGAGCAGGCAAAGGAAGAAATATATTAAAAAAATACATGGATCAGATGGATTTATCATACAAAGTGAACCCAAACAAAGTTAGAATTCTGACAAAAACCAAAACCTTACTCCCTAAGCAGTGATTCTCAATTTTCTAATTCTGGGAGTTGAAGTCTACATATCTTAAAAGTTGCCACGGTTGAAAAAGACTGCCATAAAGCATGCTGTTGCACTTCAAACCACTAAAGTTCTACAGCTAGTTATTGATAGGATCCAGGAAGAGAGCCTTCACTGCTGTTGCCCCACCCTGTGGAATATTCTTCCCCCAGAGGTAAGGCTGGCTCCTACTCTCCTAGCCTTCTGAACATGAATCAAAATATGGCCCTACGGCCAAGCATGTGGAGCCCAGAGGATCACACAGCTGTGGGGCTGACTGGTGCCTGAGTACCCCCTCCCTTTGTTTTTTTAAATTAATTTTAATAGTGTTTAATCGATATCCTTTTCTATGAAGATTCTCAGTCATCCAGGTCATAGTTGTCCCAAAGATACTTTTTCAAGTGACAACTGGACTTTGTTTTTCCTTGAATACGTTTTGCTTCTCATCCAAGAAGTTGAAGAAGTTTCTTGATGAGAAACAAAATGTCTTCAAGGAAAAACAATGGAAGTCCAGTTGCCTCTTGAAAAAGCACCTTTGGGATAATCATCATCCCTGTCTAATATAATTTTAATTTTCATATACTGTTTTTATATTTTAATGTTTTATTGTATAGTACCCACACCCCCTCTCTGAGGGAGATTGGCAGCACATGAATGTGAAAAATCAATCAATCAATAAACAAATATTGAAAAATACCTAGAATTATTCAAAAAATTAGAAAAAACAAAGTTTGAATTAAAAACCCAGTTTTTCCTGACTATTTCTAGAATAAATAAGCATAACAATTTATCATTTATTCACATATATTTATTTATCAAATAAATTTATATACTGATCCATCTCAAATTCATGATTGCAGGCAGTGTACTGTAAAACAATCCATTAAAAGAAATATAAAACAACAATTAAAAACAATATAAATACAAATATAAATAAAACCATGAGGGAATGGACTAACATCCTACAGTGTAATCATCTCACAAACTCCCTATAATTCTTGGATCTCCAATGTCAATATCATAGCATATATGCTAAAGCCATGAGGGCAACTCTGCCCCCAAGGGAAAAAAGATATCTACATTATCAAACCTGGAAATTAAACTTTGAAACATGCAGCAATAAGAAAATTAATAATATATATAAACAGAACAGTGGTTTAACTAAATTTAAACAAGAATGGCTTCCCTATATATTGCATGACACATAACAAGGCAAACTTACTTAAAGTATGATTTTAAGCAGGAAATATTTCATGTAAAGGTAATAACTAAAGCATTTAAAATAGCGATGAAATCACCAATCAGAAATATTGGGAGGAGATAGAGGAAGTATAGGGTGATGGATACATCTATGTCTATTGTTATAAATGAACTGTAGTAATAAAGTAAGGTAAACATGAAAAGATCAAATTCAGTATACTTTTAGTAGTATATTAAGATACTTCATAATAAATGAAATTTCATTTTAGTAAATCAATAAATGAAAGTTCTAGAGTAAAAAATAACTTGGATTAACTGCATTAAATGCAACACAATTCTTATAATTCATTGACTTTTTTCATTCTTTTTAGCTGTACATCATACTACAAAAGCTTAAATAATTTTTCCCCCTGGAAAAATGGATGGCTATGTAACTTTGGTTGAAATCGTCTCTTTGATTAACTTGGGATGCTGAGAACATGCTATTTGGTTAGCATAATGTAGAGCAATCAATGTAAATTTTAGTTGATATGCTCAGTAGCAGAAAGCTGTTGGGATTTCTTGTAATAATATCTTGCCTAACCAAATAGATATTAAATTTCTCAAAATGTTAACGTTTAAATATACGGAGTAAGGTACTCTGTTTTCATACTTTCTGCCAGCAGAAAAAGATGAAAGAGACAATATTTCTAGCTGCAATTTTTAATGTTTTGAGAGCATGAGCTAACCTGCAGAACTGTGTAACAATACAGATCATCATAAAAAGCCTATAAATACTGAACTTGAAATGGGAAATGATATGCCTACAAAGTCTTGCAGGGGATTAAACATAAATGGGGTAGTTTCTGGAATTAAATTCTATTCCTTATCAGAAAAGAACAGACAAAATAAAGCATGATTACCTGTCAGAATTCTGTATGATCTGCTTTAAAGACTTTCAGAGATAATTTAGGTAAACTACTTCATGGATTCTGCTGCTTTAACAGGCTGAAGGACATCAAATATTTTTGACATTTCTATAGTCCTTGATAGTTTCAGGAACATGTTAATGTGAAAATATTCCACATATTACTTTTGATCTTTGAATCCATAACAAATCCCCTTAATGGGAGCTAAGTAACATATTTCAACAAGTCTATGATTCACTGACCAATGTCCAAACATACAAATGCATATATGTGCCTATGACTTGACATCAGCTGACTGTAAATATTCTTAATACAGAAAAAATACATATCAGATTCAATATGAGGAAATAATATGGATAAGGACAGTTTTATTTTATTGCTGACATGTAGATAAAATATATCAATATTACCCTGAAACTAATCAAAAATCTGTTTCAATCATATTCTCAAATTTTTTTAATGAAAATCCTTGTTTAATGTGTAGTTCTTCATGGAAATTTGAAGAGACGCTACTGGATTATATTAAAGATCTAATATACCATCCCAATTATTATTATAGTTACAAACCTGAACCTTAGTAGTCTTCAAGTTATAACATTGAGACTGGAATTTCTGTTGTAACAATGTGGTTCAACAGCACAATGTCACATGACTGAACTGCTTAGTTATGGCAATCCCAGCAATCCTTATTGCTGTTGTTAACCAAATCCCATTGACTGTTAGATGAGGACCAACATGATCCAAGCCATTAACAGACCCGAGCTTCAGTAAGGTAAGGGTCTGCCTCCTCTTCAACTTCTCCTACCCACCAATATTTTTCACATATTAAAATACCCTCAGCACTCCTCAGCGGTGACACTGGGACTGAAATAGAGGCCAAACTGTCAGCACAGCCACCACCAAGAATTACCACCTCAACTCCCACACCACAGCCAGTCAGCCAAGCACCACAGTGGAAAGTTCTAATCATCCTGTGCTCTGCATGTCCTGCCATGCTCAGCTGACTTTCATTGTCATTTTTCTGCTGCTGACAAAGAACACCTGACCTGTGCCTATGTGAGGCAGCTGTTGGCCATGCCAAGCTTTTTTCCTGAGATAGCTTGTGCTGTTCTCCAAATAGCCATTCTTGTAATGCAGGCCATTCTTGTAATGCTTTGTCAGGTTTTTGAGGCCTTCTGACACCTCACAAGAAGACTATGCCTACCTACCATTCTCCAAATTGCCAGTGCTGTTCTTGTGATGCTTCAGAAAGCCTTTGGAAAACTTCTGAGGCCTTCTGAAAAATTAGAAGAATGGCATCCATGATTTGGAAAATGGCAGGTGCAGGTATCTCCTGAAATTTCAAAAAGCCTCAGAATCTCACAAAGCATGCAATTTACCAAGGGCTGCCAGAGCAAGAGTTTGCGGGGTGGATAGGTGATTGAAGGGGTTGAAAATGCCTCTGTGGTTTAAGTATGGGCAGGCTTTGATTACATGACCACAGGGATGCTGCAACGTCTGTAACTTCAGAAACTAGGTTTAAGTACCATTCATTCAGCATCATCCTAACTTCAAATAGCCGTGAATGAAAATTAGAGAAGGCCACACTTCTTCATAGATAGTTTTTTATGGACTTTAAAGGGATCCTTCCAATTTATTAATGGCAAAATGCTGGAAATCAGGTGAAAGCTGTAGTGACAACAGTAACTAGATGCACCTGTTGGTTAAGCCAATATTGGGTGTTTTTTTTTTAAATAAGTTAAGTAGTGGTTTAGACACCAGGTTTTCCTGCAATGGGTGAGAAGGGAAATGACAGCCTAGCAGAATATCTGATTAGATCTAGTTATCACTGTGATTGAAGCAGAGAGAAAGCTTGAAAACTGGTACAGGTTTTTTTAAGCTGGCATTATTTCTAGCCATTTACACATAAAGGACAAGCAACTGAAAACTGGAATGTACAAAAAAACAACTTATTGAGAATTTGAACCTCTTATGTTAAAGGTTTTTTAAATATAGATTTGTTATTTGAAAATAACAGTGTCTTTCAAAGATTAGGTCTACCAAGCAGAAGAAAAATGGAACACTCCAATATTCATTGAAACATAATATATTGGGAAAAAGTTTGTCATTCCCAAATGGTGCATGCCTTATTATGAAGTATCTGTGATAGAAGCTTTCTTTATTTAAAAATGGGTTCCATGGAGAGAATATCCTATCAGAAAGTAAATTATTCCCTAGGATGCTCTTGCTACTGCAGCGGATCTTATATTGTGATGAAAGTCATTGCTAAAGGTAATTATAACTTTGGAGGCAGATGTGTTGCTTTATATCTTTCTATGTAATTTTCAGGGCAAGGACATCAGCTTGGTTGCAAGTTGCTGCCTAGATTTTTGCCTGTGTATTTATTCATCTGTAAACTATCTTGAGGATGAAAAAGCATGATATTAAACTAAGAGTCAATAAAATAAAATGAACTTAAAACAGTTTCCCACAAAATTATTTCAAATATTTAGGACAGATAACATAGGCATATAGCAAAGTTTCACTTTCATATTATCTTTTTAAAAAGAAATCCAGAAAGTACTCCTCTGTCAGTGAAATAAAATTCAAGATGAAGTCTTGAAAATATTAGTTACATATAAAATTTCAGAAGGAAATGAACTTACCTTTGTCTGTTTGATTAAATCAACCAAATCTTTTACTTGATGCCTCAGTAAATTTTGACATTTCCACATTTCATTCAATGCCCTAATCATAAAAATAACAAAGTATAAACAATGAGTGATGTAACAATCATCTTTGCAACCGACTAGACGTTATAAATTTTGTAAGTGAGAAACTCCTCCTGTTGTTATTGAGCAATGTGGTCCCATGACATCATACTTTATAACTAGATTGTACAGTGATGGAAATTCCAGTCCAAATTCTTGGTGTAACTTGAGGACTGCATGTACTACAGATACTAGATAAAAACACACTTGTCTCTAATTTCATTCACTACCAAACTCTTTTTAAAAATTGTCTGGTAGGTTCAACATATGTTGAATTGCTGGTTCCATAATAGTGTAGCTAGTGATATAAAAACATGTACAAGGAGTATTACCAGGTTACGGATTCTACTGTCAAATAATAAATATCACCATCTTTTTGGGCTTATAAATTTAAATAGACAAGAAAAATAATTAATAGGTTTTGGGTTTTGTTTTGTTTTTTTTACTTATAGGCAAATATGATGCCTATAATCAACTAAAGGTTTTGAAACAATGTAGTCCTTAAGTGAGGACTTTCTATAAGGCATCTATGTGGAGATATCTCCATCTTTAGAATTGTAACCCATTAAATAAATCATATACAAGATTCAAGTTACCAATTAAAGAATAATGAGTGGTTTTTATTTTAATAACATAAGATAATTCAACTGAAATGAAGAAGTGGGCTATATGCAACTGCATGTGTTCACTGTTGGAACATACCCCACTGGCAAAAACAGATTTTCCATCTACCACCGTTCTCTACCACCTGCCTCCTTCCAAATCTATACATAATTAGTAAGGTTGAATAGAAAATTAAAGAAGTGGAAAAAAGATTTTTTTTTAAACTGTGGAAAGGTAAGTGCATGATGAGGATATATCATACAGTACTTTCAATGAGGCATTTTATTTACTAATAAGAACTAAAATTTTTAGCCCCAAATAGAAAATATTTGTTTCATAAGAAACAATTAAAAAACAAGATGAAGGCCTTTGTAAAATCAATTGGCTTTAATCTATATTTCTCTTAATCAAAATTATTAATTACATTTTCAATGAAAAAATTCCATAGCTCCATATCTGTAATTGAATACATACTTAACAGCATTAGAATCAAGTGTTGCGTAAAGGTAGTATAAGCATTTCATTCTTTCATTTGTTTCCAAATTGTGTGGAACCATATATTGAGCAAAGATTCGTTCTACCAGCAATCTAAAAAGAAATTACCAATAACAAGTTTCAGAAAAATATCAAAATTAATACTAAAATCAAAACTTGGGCCATGATCAACTGCAATGGGGAGCAGTGCAATGGAAGTGGTTGATCAAATAATATCAGATCCTACCTCCCCCACTCCACACACCCCCACCCTCCCCATGTGTCTTCGTTGTTTTAACTGTATATGTTTAACTGTAAGCTTCCCAGAGTTACCCTATGGTAAGATGGGCAGCCAATAAATTTTATAAACAAACAAACAAGATCAATTTGTTTGATCAATCATTTTCTTTATAGAAGAATGAATATGATTCAATTAATTGAATTATATTTATTCTTCTATAAAGAAAAATAATTAATTAAAGGTTACAAACCTGAAGAGCTATATCCCACTAAATCATTTTGCACACAATAAATGAATTTTAGTTTCCATAAGTTTTGTTATAAACACATATCACAGCTACAGTAATCCAGTATAGTTCGGTACCTAATTCAGGTATAAGAGAAATTGCATTAACTTGTAGAATTTACTTGTACAAGTTACAGCAATTATCAACTTGAATAGCATGAAAAAGTTATTGGATAAAAATAAAGGATATCAGTCACCAATGGTTATTGTTCTAGTCCTAATGCCTCATGGGCCCTCATTTTTCCTCTGCTTTCACCCAACAACTAAATAAAAAAAAATATTTTTCTAAATTAGCCACTTTTCTCAAAGATTTTAGGAGTAAATAAATTGGGGGTTTTAAAAGCTATTTTTCAAAAGAACAAGTCAGTCAAATAATGATTTTACTGAATTATTTCAAAGTTATTTCAACAACAGAATAAATACATTATAGAGTTGCTTCAAACATGGAAAAATGATTAATATAAATTTATAACTGATATTACAACACACAAGCTCAGAGTTTAGACAACCTAGTTAATATAGTTGGAAACCTTAAGAATTCTATGGTATAGTTCAGGTTTATTGATTTAAAAATAGATTGTAGATAGCTTTAGAACAGCATTATAATATCTAATAACATGTCATGAGACCAGAGAGTTACTTTAATAATGTCTAGTTTCTAGAGTTCTAAATTAGGTGATCATGTAATGTTCAGAATGTTGTTAAAAATAAATGAAATTCGTATGAATTAAATGACCTCCTGACCTCCTAATGTATTTCTTCCTGTATTATGTCTCTTTTTTTTTCCTTTTTTGTCATTATTATTCCAAACTTTGAAATAGAAGTGTCTATTTTATTTAAAAAACTGAAGATAACTTACCGATCATCAATACTGTTTTGGTAATATATATGCAATAATTTGTCCTTAATCCAAGCAATTTGTTTAGCAGCTTCTTTTCCAGCTTCTGATTGTAAAGAATATTTCTTATATATCTGTGCAAGTCCCATCATAGCTTCTTTTCTCACCCTCCACTAAAATAATACATAATGAGAGCCCCCCCAACATTTATTAAAAAGGCTATTACAATTGAAAACATACAGCAATATTTTTACTATATGCAGAAAAGGAACCATGCAAAATGGCCAGTTTCAAAGTTCATTCACACAGAATTGTTCATTTCAAGGTCAGAGCATCTATTTTGACCATTAACTTTTTTGCAAAAGTTACTTTCAAATTTACTATGGCAGGGTTTCGGAAAAATTATTTAATACATGGAATGCAACAGCACACTAAGAGTAAAAAATATAATCTTTTACTATTGATGCTCTAAGGGAATGTACAAATTGCAACATAAAAAGTGAAACACAGTTAGTACAATAATGTCAATGTCAATTAAAATAGGACTTATACATATGAAATAATATCTCACCACTTGCTATATATGATGAAAGATGTAATTGTAAAGATTAATGAACAGAAGGCCCTTTTGAACTGCAAAATATTCCTATAGTGGTCAAAAGTATGTAGCTCTAAGAAACAGCTTGCTGGGGTTTATTAACCTGTAAGCAAGTTTTGTATAGGAAGTTCTCAACTTACAATCATTCAATTAATGACTGTTTGAAGATACAATGGCACTGAAAAAAATGAATTATGACCGTTTTTACGTCTCTTGCAACATCCCTGTGGTCATGTGATCAAAATTTGGATGCTTGCAACTGGCAGGTATTTATCACAGTTCAGTGTCCCGGGGACATGTTATTGCCTTTTTGTCCTTCTGACAAGCAAAGTCAATGGGGAAGCCAGATTGACTTACAACGTTTTATTATTTTAGCAGCTGCAGTGATTCACTTTCTATGGCAACAAAGGTTATAAAATGGGGCAAAACTCACAATTATCCTGCTTAGCAACAAAAATTTGGGGCTCATAAGTTAAGGACTGTCTGTACAAAAAGTGTCCATGCAAAGTAGAAAATCAAAGTATATGAACATGATACTGAAGGCCTTAACAATAAAGGATTTTTAAAAACATATTTAACTGGTTAACCTTAGATTAGCAGTCTGTAGTTAATCAACAAACTTACCCGTTTGTCTAGTGTTCGCTCTCTCACAAAATTAAGCAGATGATCATTCACAAGGAGGAGATCTTTCTTAGCAGCAGTAACTATTGATACAATAACATCGTGCCTAATAGCTTCTTCAGGGTCATGAGATCTCACTTTAAGATATTCTGTACATAATACATAAAATATATACTGTACATAAAATACATAACTGAAATGTTATATCATTAAGATGAATACTTGCATTATACACTTAAGATAATTCCTCTAAAAAGAGAGTCTTATATTATAAAATATGCCACCGTAGCCATTTCCTTTTTTTTCTCTAAATAAAATCAAACCTAGTTGAATTATTATGAACAACAATGTCACTAATAGGAAAAATAAATTAAGCCATTTGGAAGGAATTTTTATTATCTTTCTAACAGTTAAAACAAGAACCTATTAAAGGATTTGGGTTGCATGGTAATTTCCATCACAAAGAAAACTAACAAAGCAAAGTACCATATAAATCTTTCTTTCCCCTTTCTCTGATAAATATTTAAATGTATAGCTCCACAATTTATAGCTTAAGACATGTGATACTTGTTCTTTCATGGTGATATTATGATCTTTGTATTTAATAAAAGGATCACACACACTTAATATATACACAGAGAGAGAGACTCCTGTCCTATTACATTTTTTTAAACAGGGAAAACTCTGCTTATTACTGATTTAAGATTTATTTATTTCTCCCCGACCAGCAATTTGAAACATCTGTATTTGTATTTGCAGAACCTAAGATTTCAAAGTACAGGAGGGTATTCACACTTATGTGTCAATGTAATATCAACAGCTTATCATGCTAACGAATTATGTTTCTGTGATTCAAAGGAATATAGTAATCCATATGTTTCTTTGTTAAAACATTGTTAGGCAGAAACAATCTATCTCTGCTCTAAAATATCATTTGAATATTACATTATGTTTCTTTCTTGCACAAAATAGTTTCTCAGAGCAGTATTTTTTTTGCCAAATTCAAGAGAGTGAAAACATGAGCTAAAATTGCATCCAATTAAACATTAATTGAATTTAAATTTAGTTGTGCATTTTAATTGTTTTACAGGTAGTCCTTGGTTAATGACCACTCATTTGGGAACTGTTTGAAATTATGACTGCTGTGGACATTAACAACCTGCCTTCTAAGTTGCAATTGCTGCAGCATCTCCAAAATTACACAGTCATGATTTGGGCCCCTTGGTAACAACTTGCGATTACAACCGCTGCAATATACTTCAGTCACATAACCACTATTTGTGACCTTAACTGTCAGCTTCTGACAAGCAAAGTGAAAGGGGAAGCTGGCAGGAGATGGTGATCACATGACATCAGGTTTAACATCCACACATGACTCATGTAGTGATTGCAACTGGTTTAACATCCACACATGACTCATGTAGTGATTGCAACTATCATAAGTCAGCATGGTCACATCTTTATGGCCACATCGTTGCCGGTCCCAATTACCATTGTTAACCAAGAGCTATCTGAACACACTCTCACTGTAATTTGACCGGATAAAATAACTGAAGACAGAAATTACCTGCTTTATTTTATTTATTAAGGTTTGTACTAAAGGGCTAAAGTGTATTATGTCATAAATTAGCATATTTTAGTTTCAAAAAATAACAAATACTCTTGAAAAACAAGTCTGGGTAACATCTATGTAAGAAAACTGTACGTCTATAAGATGGATGGGTGAGATAGAGAAATAATGTACTTACATGCTCATATTAAAACTCTGTTAAACATGAACATCTGATGGCCTTAGGGACAGAGATTCATAAGGAGCAATAAAGGAGCAATAAAACTTGCAGAGGTCACTAAAGAATATGACTTGAAGCACACTTTTTATAAAGATACTATTATATTTAAGTATTTTTTTATTTTAAAAGTATAGTGTTTTTGCCATACAACTAAAAGTACAAGAAAAATTCTTTTATTCTGAAGTTTATTGATACCTGTTAGATCTTTCGCTAGATCAGGATGGTTCATAAGGCAATGACTGGCAAATTTCACACATTCAAGACGGATAGGTACATGTATATCATTGAATCTGTTTTTAAAAAATTAAAATTTTTAATAATCATGTTGTCTCTTATATAATTTTCACCAAAATACTGTATACAAAACTCGACCAGAAGAATATCTATAGATGCATATGGATAACATACCAGCCTACAGATGTTTTAGAGCAGGGGTCCCCAACCACTGGGCCGCGGACCAGTACCAGTCCGTGGAACATTTCCTACCGGGCCGCCGGTTTGCTGGGCGCCGCCATCTTGTTTGACGAGAAAGTGCTTCTGGGTGAGCTTTTCCGGTTGGAAAGCGGCATTTGGGTCCTGAAGGAATCCTCGCGCCTTAGTTTCATCAAAGGGGGGGAGCTTTGAATAAAACTAAGGCGCGAGGATTCTTTCTGCACCCAAGGCAAGGCGAGCCGAGCGACCATCCCGAAGCGAAGCCCATCGACAAAGGTACAAAGGAGGAGTTGAAGGTGGCGGGGAGAAGCGGGGGACGGCTGGCTGGCCGGTCGCTCGGCTCGCCTTGCCTTGTCATGCTTGCTGATGCCGGTATCGGGCCGTGGGTCATTTTGTGATGCCGGTAACGGGCCGTGGCACAAAAAAGGTCGGGGACCACTGTTTTAGAGGGCCTTATTCTTCATCCAGGCCTTCGGCTAGAGTGGTTGAAGCCCATTCAGGTTAATGTGAGTATGTTTTCTGTTGTTGTGCAGTTTTTGCTACTATGGGAACCTTAGTGCTCACTGAACTTGGTTGTTTTCTTGTAGGCATTTCTAGAAGGGAGTAGGTTTTGCTCTTACTAGTGGCTTGTCCTATCAATGTTGATGTGGGTGGTCTTGGTTTTTTTCTTTGATTGGCGTATTGTTTACTTATTGATTGTTCATCTAGTAATCTCTTTGTATTAATCTCTGTTCAACTGGATGTTGAGTTTTTGCTTTATTCTGTTCCTCTCTTGTTGTGATATTATTATTTTTCTGTGCTTTTAATTTGTGTAACACTCAAAATTGCTGATAGCTGGACAGTTTAAAAATAATAAAATAATAAAATATAATCTGTGCTTTTTTTAGCCAAAAATTATGAAATATGAATCCAATTGTCTTTTTAACCAAAAGAAAAACATAATGGAAAAGACATGTATAGGTGCATTTCTTTGCATTGTTTTTTTTATTGTGAAGTGTATTTGTAATCTATTTGCAATTCTACTACATTAGTTTCTAATGTTATCTTTCAAAAGGATATTAATATTAACAAAATGCAATATATCAACTGAATTATACAATGTCTTGATATTTAATTCTGCTGATAAAGATCCACCTTATTCCATATAACTCAGTAAATTGAAAGACACTTGTTATGTTTATATATTTTGCTGAGCTTCACCTTTGTACTAAACATAGTTTTCTAAACTGTAAATAACAATACAGAGTCAGTAAATGAACTAAACAATCATTGCTTATTTTGTCAATTTCTTGATTTCTTTTCCTTTTTCTGGCATTGTGGCAGAAACGAATGCTCAGTACCTCAAAGCATTAAAAATCAGAAAACCAAAAAGTCCACTAAGTCACAAATGCCAAAAGAAAACAAATCATTTATGCTAACATAAACCACAATTTCTTCACTGATTTCATTAATTATTATATTAAACAAAATCAAGCAAACCACATTATAGTTTAGTAAAATGCAGAAGCCCAAATTTACAGTCTAAAAACTAGTGGATCATAATGGTCTGTGGAAGTACAAACGTAGCTTAAACCTCTCCTAAGATACTTAAGAGTAAGCAGGATAATAGTTACTACTCAAATTTATGGCTAATACTAATATTTCAAAAAATATTAAATGTTGAATAATTACAATACATTAAGCCTAAATTACAAATTAGTGAGAAATGAAGTAAAACAAAACATACCTTCCTAAGTAGCATTGCCAAAGGGGCTTGTTCTGAGCTGCCAGCTCCGAATCTTTTGCTCCAAACATTTTTGCAAGAAGTTTTACAACCTGGAGTCGTTCCTCATTGTCATTGCTCTAGAAAATAGTATTTTTTTAAAAAAAGTATGTAAATCTACACAAATAAGCTTTGGAAAACTGTTTCTTCATACACTAAAAGAAAGAAAATAACAAAAACTAAACTAAAATCAGACAGGCATGTTGTTTGTGTATGTGTGTACAAACATACACATACATGCACAGAACAGAAATTATCCTGTAAAAAAACTCAATGTCAGATGTACCTTTAGGTAAACATAGAATAATTCCCTCCATGTACTAATTATATGTGATCAACTTATAAACAAATACAAGTTTACAACAGCTTTCCTGCACTATTTTGTCCTTCAGCCATTTAACACTGGAAATTAAAGAATTCAAAGTGTATATTTTTCTTATTCAGTGATAGCTAAAAAGAGAAGAAGAGCATTAGCATATACTGAGCTATTAAAACATGTCTGAAATGTATAGTGAGGAACGTTCATCAGAAAAAGGAATTTGAAAGAGTGGCATTCCCTACAGCAGAATTAAAGTTCTAATTGAAAAATGGTGCATCATCCATGCCCACTACACAGGTTTAAATCTTCAATTAATGGCAGTGATACTTTTACCTTAAGTGATAGACTTACCTTAAGTTTAAACTCAAGCTGTGGCAAAACTGAGAGTAAAAGATGGCTGTCAATATTATATAGCTCCAAAATTAAATCAAAAACATGCTCCGAGAGATCACTGATGGATGTTTTTCCTAGCATAAGCACTTGATTAAAGAACTGTGAAAAAAATCAAAATATAAATAGGATAGAAATCATAATAGTTTAACTTATTTCAGAACAATTCTAATTTTCCAACAAAACCAAGATTCCCTATTAAAAATTGTTATTTTCACAATCACATTTTAATCCCATAACACTTCGTTCATTAAATTGGAGTTTCCATCTACTTTGGCTGTGCAATTAAATTCATTACAGGAAAATTAAAATACTAATGGCAATAGGTATACTTAAAAAGCTAGTGTCAACTGAATTCTGTATGTACTTAAATTCACAATTTACATCAATGAACCTGACATTTAAATATCTAGAAATAAATGTATAAATATATAAAGATTCCTAATGTGAACTGCTAATGAATCATAAAAATTAAGGTACAATTTGAAATAAAATGTAATACATTTCTGTATCGCTAAAGGATCAAGAATATAAATGTCAGTTATTCAAGTTGAATATATATGTATATGTATATGTATATGTATATGTATATGTATATGTATAT